AGCCTCACAACTTCCCATGTTATGTAGGCGGTTTCTAGTTAATTAATAGTAATTTGGACTTTAAATTTGGTTAAAATACCAAAAATTATTTTTTGGGGGGATAAATTTGAAGACAATTTTGCATGTTGTGGCAAATCATGACATCTAGGAGTTTTTTCAATATTTTATTTGTTTTCAGCACACCAAAATATATGAAAATTAGATGAAAATAATCAAACAGCTTTTTAGTCTCAGACATGTGATATACTTTCTATACAAATAAAGATAAATTAAATGTTAGAATACCTTCACCCCATACAAGGAAAGTTTTGTTTGAAGGAAATATACCATTTTAATATATTTCACTTAGACACACTAACAAATTAAAATAAAAAGTGTTCACCAAATATTGACGGCAAATTGTTAGGGCTTCTAAGAGTAAAATTGCTTCAAATCTGATTTTGGCTTGATAACTCACAATATCTAAGAATGTCTAAATCTTCTTAGCCATACTGACAGAGCTGAAAAATTGTTGGTGTAAATTATAACTATGAACTGAATATTATCCATTGAGCTTACAATTTTGTGGTTTTCTAACTACACACAGTTTCACAGCTCTAATTGTGCAGGTTGTGCACCCACAAAGAAAAATAGGAGAAGCACAATAAGTGCAACAAATTTATTTATTTATTTATCTATATAGAGTATAAATAGTGATACCTTCCTCAGAAGAAACAAAATAACCTAGCCCCACCTATACGCTTGATATTGTCTCATCCATTTTGTATCATCCTACCTTCCCCCTCCCCCAATTATATCCTGGATATGGGGAATAAACTTTAACTTTTGTGTTCTAAAAATATTATAAAAATATTTACATTCAGTTGGAAACTGTATGTTGCAGTGTAATCCTATAAATACACAGGTTTTAAAACAAAAATCCTACTATTTTTTATTATTTGAAAGATTTATAATGACTTTCATGACAGACAAATGTTTACATAGAAAACACAGAAAGTTTTCTTGACACTATTTAAGTACTAAAAAATCAGTATATATGCAGATTCAAATTTTAGATCAGAGATACATTTTACTGTTTATGTTCAACTTTCTATTTTGGTATTCTTAAATTTGTCTATTTAAGTGAATCCTTATATACTCTCAGGATGAAATTCCTCAAACAATTAACAATGTTGAGGGTATAGTTATACTTATTTTAAAAATTACAGTGTTTAAATTTCTGAACAGAAGATGGAATTAATCAATTAACTAGAAACCGCCTACATAACATGGGAAGTTGTGAGGCTGGCATGTTATTATTGTTTGATAGTTAAATATATACTTATTTATTGCTTATTCGTTTTGTTAGAATATTCAGGTATGAAAAAGATAGATTGCAGAAAATTATTCTACAAGTTTTTTAATTCAAAAAAATATTTGTATTGCAAGAATTGAATTCAGATGTCATTTCCAAATTATAGTTTGTAGCTGAGTTGGTTCTAAGTCTAAGATGATTCCAGAGAAACATAGAACAATGATCCCTTCTGTCTGGAGGTCACCTGAGCTGGTATCTAAAAAGTAAATAACTATGTTTGAAAGCCCCCCATAAGCTTTCACAATATACCCTAGAATTGCACTATATCTGAAAGTGTTAAACAGTAAATAATAGTAAATAACTTTTCATACCATATCTACCAGCCAGTAGATAAAGTTGCAGACATATGTTGGCTGTCAGGCATTTATATCAATGAAGTTAATCCAGACATTCGCATTATTATCTCAGTCTAAGTATCCAGTATTTAGTATTTAGCTACAGAAGACTCAAAGATGCTAACAAGTGAATAATGTATATACTGTATACTCTATTCTATTCTTATGTGCTCAATTTAATGTAAAACCAATTTACTGAGATCTGTGATCTGGTAAACTATGCTTTGAGTAATTTTTCTTAACAGGGAGTGAAAATTGTAATAAAATTCTGGTATGAAATCCAGTTTTGGAGAGATCACCCAAATCATTGTTTGCCAGTTTAGACTTCACAACAAAGCAGAAGGTGTACAGCTAAATACGGTTTATGAAAAGAATGAGATACAAAAATGTTATGGCTATGGTTTAAGGAGATTTGAATGTATTCAGTGCTTTAATTTTAAATAATGAATGTCACAAGATGTTAAAATATATACTTTGCTAACTTTATTTCAAAATGGAAGTGAAAGGAACAGTTACTAATTAATTGGAGTTTAAAACCTTCAAATGCAAATACTTTCATTTAATAAGTGGAAGCAATGTTCTGCAACTAAAGACACTGAGTTTGTCAGCTGGAAAGCTGACAGCCTGAGTTTGAGACCCAAGAACCACACAATATGAGCTCCCATTCTTTGCCTTAGTTTCTGCCCATCTAGCAGTTTGAAAGCTTGTAAATGTGAGCAGATTAATAGGTACCACTTTGGTGGGAACAGCATTCAAAGTGCCTTTATCGTATAGCCATGCTGGCCACATGACCATAAAAATGTCTTCAGACAATGGTGGCTCCCTTGTCAAAGAAGCAGAGATGAGTATTGTGCCCTAGAATCAGACACGGCTGGATAGGGAAACCTTTACCTTAATAAGTAGAAGTAGGATATTGAAGGTTTTACAGATTTTAATCCTTTAAATGAGATCCATGTAGTATATGGATAAAGTGCTGGATTACTATTGGGAAATTCATGTTCTAGTTCATCCTCAGCAATGAAAGTTCCCTGGCTTTTGAGTCAGTCATTTGTTTCTTATCTCAACTATCTCACAGAGTTATAGTGGGGAAAAATAGATGGAAGGAGTGCCTTGACCTCCTGAATGAAAGGTATTCATTAGAATAATGCTCATCTTTCCTACTAATTACACTACATTAAAATATGTTTACTACTTATGGAGGTAAATTTTGTAATCATCAAAGTATCTTTAGTTCCTCATAAAAAACATTGCTTACCTGTGATCCTTTCTTGCTACCTGGAAGGTTAATTATGAGAGTTTTCCCTCTGATTCCACACACAGGTCTGGGCGGGGGGAGGAGAAAAAGAGAGGAAAGCGATGAGTACCAAGTCACAGGAAATTAACAATTTTTAAAATAAATCAATTTTAATCAATCTCAAAAAAGTGAAGTCTTAGCATTCATTCAGTGGAAAAAAAGTTTTCATAGAAATAGGATTAAAGAAACCTTCATGATCAAATGAGTTTTACTTAGCTAATCAATAAAATACTAGCCTTTTCACACATATGCATATAGATAGTCCTGGACTTAAGACCATTCTTTTAATGACAGTTCTAAGTTCTGACTGTGCTGAAAAAAGTAACTTATGACCATCCTCAAAGTTACAATTGTTGCAGCAGTCCCACAGTCATATGATTGTAATTCAGGCCCTTGGCAACTGGCTTGCATTCATGATGATTAGGGCATTTTGCTGTCAGATGAACAAACTTATTGTAGGTTGCATGGGAACATTTAGCTGTGATACTAAGACAGTTTTGTGCTTTGCTGTAATGTTTTGTTTCACTGTTGACATATATTGCTTTTATTTTGGGTTTAAAATATGCAGCCATTTAAATGCTTTAGAAACAGCTAAATAAGCTCATTTCAATAGGCTTACTGTTGCTCAATGATGTTAGACCTGCTTATGTCAGCTGTCCATCCCTGCATATTGGTATTTTCCCTAAAAGCCTCATCAAGTGAAAAAGATTGATAGTGGATATGAATGATCAATTGATTTTCAGGCCACTCTTATCAGAATTTATTTAGAACAGCTTTCATATCTATTTGTGTACATAATATTAAAAACTATGTCTAAAATACAAATAACTGTGTGTTTTTCAAATACAATGCAACAAAGGTTTTCTGTAAGCAGCACTAAATCCAAACGTAAAGTTGTTTAAATGTCTAGGTTGTAGTGACATCCAAGGAGGGGAAAGGACACACACACACACACACACACACATATACACACACGCACAGATGCACACACACACACACACACAGCCTTTCCCCTCCTTGGATATCACTACAGCCTGGACATTTAAACAACTTTACGTTTGGATTTAGTGCTGCTTACA